TATATATTAAATTATTTGTATGCGTTTGTCATCAAATAAATGAGAAGGTAATGTCTTGCATGTGCTTAATACGAGGCTTGCGCTTTCTTCTCTAATTGCAGAAACTAAAGCGGATGGATGTGATCCGTATTATCCAGAAATATTGCTGGAGTCGATGAAAAAAATATTCTCTTATGTAAAGGTACATTTTTGTTGCAAACATTTCCCAATAATATAACTAAACAATTTGTGTATACATCTGTTGTAAAGATCGAAGCCTAAATATATTTGCAGAACGCAAAACTGCGGTGTGATTATAAATATCAAATTTGCAGGAATGCACGAGGACGAGGACGAGCAGCCGTCATCATTTCATAAATCAGAAGCGTCGATCATGTTTTTGCTGTGGAAAGGATCAGATGTCACTGTCCGTAGGGTTCAGCCTTACAGGTGGCAAAGTTTCAAAGGGAGAGAAAAAAAATCTAACAATTCACTAAAATAAAAACATAAAGGTCTTTTATTTTGTTTTCATTTACGATCAGTTAAACGTAATAATAATTTTGCATGACAGTGCACGGGGTTATTTCAGTGGCAGACTGCGGATCCGAGTGACAGACGTTTCATGATGATAGTCGGCTCTTAACTGAACGTTTCACAAAGAGACGTTTAGCTCTCTTCAGATATTGGCTTCCCTGGATAATCTGAATTCCAAAGCAAAGCTCCGAGCTTCTGTGCTGCTTTGCTTGTTCATACATTAGACTTTGCTGCAACCAATGAGAAAACTCTGCACGTAAAATATCTCTGCACGCCACTTTGAACCTCCTATTCCCAAGTGACCGACTACTGTTATTCCCTTTGAGAAGTCTAAATGTAGCCTACCAGTTGCAGAAAGAAATGTACATACTGATGTTTGAAATGCAAACGGGCTCGGCATCTTTATTCAAACATATTAAAAGATCAAATTACAAAGTTGGTAATCACTAAAAATGACTGAGCTTGAAGGAATGTTAATGCGTTTTAAGAGACGCTCATAAACATAATGGAAACATGCATTAACACAAGCGTTTAGAAAGTCATTTATATTGTAAAATAGACTGTTAATTTAGAATTGTACTGCCAAGAGGAAGGCTGGAAGACGTCTGAAAACATTTGCATTAAAACGGTTTCTGCCTTAACAACTCACTTAATTCTGCATTTATCTTTAAAAAAAACATTATTTTATTCTTATGTGTAGTGAATAAATCTGCAACTGAGATAATCTCACTGAATGCCCAATAGGCTACATTAAGGAATTTTCCTAGCCGTTATTATCGAGAATTTGTTCTTATTCAGATTTTTTATTTCCAAAAGTATTCACACGTTATTCTAAATCTCTTAGAATCAAACCGACACGTAACCATTTAGTATAGAAACTCTCCCATTCAAGACTTGGATATGGGAATAAATAGCATACATTGACTATTCTACTGCGGCTTTTACAGGCCTAATGTCAAAGTGCGTAACGATTCTTACTCGCGCAGTTGGTGATTTGGAAAGAAAAGGATTAGTAAAAGTAGTATTTCCTTTTCCCCCCTCTCTCTCTCTCTCTCTCTTTAGTTGCATGCTCAAGTCCCGTTCTCTGGTCAAGTTCAGTGCGTTGTTCTCCGGACCGGACGGACGCTTCTTATTGGTAGGCAGCGACAGTTACATCACGCCGCTCATGACGCGCACGTCTTCCTGTTTCCTTCAGCCGCGTCTTAAAGTGAATCTTAGTGGCGGAGGAGCGCTCCAGCATCCAGTCCTCTGTATCCAGTGCGCCTCGGAGACCCACACACACACGCAGTCTCTCTCTCTCTCTCTCTCCCTCTCTCTCTCGTATTCTCTCTATGTCTCTCACTCTTTTAGTCACAGCAGAGGATAGAGGGAGAGACCGCCGCGCAAGAGCTCTTTTCATCTTCTATATTTTTCCTGTTTCGGTCCTTTCGCTCGTGCCGCTGACTTTATTCCAGCTCTTCCTTCTTTGAGAAATTGTTATCTCCCAGTATCCAACAATCCGCGGTGCTTCTGCGTATATTCTCCTTTTTTTTTTTTTGGCCGTCGGAGTTCAGGTTGTCCCCTCTTCATCTAAAGGGTAAGTAACCTTGTCCTCGGATACCTCCCTCTGTTGTTCTTGGTCTGCCTCGCCTGCGCACGGTGGGCGGAAAAAAAAATAAACAAATCAAACATAATGAACGGGCGAATTTATTTATGTGATCAACAGCTAATCATATCTGCACGACATTATTTGCTCTGTTTTCGTTCCCCTCATCTTGATGTGTGGTAAGAGTTGCGCGAGCAGCCCGTATTATTGCGAGGATGATTTGCGGACCGTAGCCCAACCTTCCTCATCAAAAGCGGGGATCAAGTTGATTTGCAACTTTGTCAAAGTAAGTTTGGGAGTGTGTTTTGAAACGTGATTTTAGACGGGAACTGAGATTTAGCTGTATTAGATCTCCAGTGCGTGTTGGAAACCGAGAATTTGCTGTTTCCTCGTATAGTCTTTGTCCTGTGGGCTACATTTTATTCTAACACCTCTTTCGTGCCTTTTTTATTCACACAAAGTCGTTTATGGAGCGTGTCAGTCCTCCTGTTTTGTAATTTCGGTGTCTGTCTTCTGCAGCAGCACCATTGTGATAAAACGCTGCCGGTATATTGTTGTAAGTGTACGCAACTCTGTCTCTCTCAGGTTTTGATAGTTTGTCCATCTGACCATGAAATGGGCAAAGACACAGTCAGATCTCTTTTTTCTTTTATCGTCTTATAGTGTAAATGTCGTTGTTTAACTCCTAAAAGTTACAACAACTGTGTATCCTTTTAATTTAAACCAAGTTTCAAACCTGGACTTCACTCGTTGTTTTCTTGTTTGTTTCTTTTCACCCGAAATGTTTGAACGTTAAAGGTTGAGTGTTTTTCAATGACAATAGGTTTCACGTGAAGAACTAGTTTAAAAGGATAAGGCGAAGATCTTAAGAGTTCAAACATCTACAGCTCGTTGTTTATATGTGTAGTCCATAGCTTCAAATTGTTGAAAGGTTTTGAACGAGGGAGAGAGAGAGAGAGAGAGAGAGAGAGAGAGAGAGAGAGAGAGAGAG